CTGACCAACATGGTGAAACCCCCTATCTACGAAAAATACAAAAATTAGTTGGGAGTGGTGGCACGCGCCTGTAGTCTCAGCTACTCAGGAGGCTGAAGCAGGAAAATCGCCTGAACCTGAAAAGCAGAGGTTGCAGTGAACCAAGATCACACCACTACACTCCAGCCTGGCAACAGAGAGAGACTCCATCTCAAAAAAAAAGAAAGAAAAAAGGCCTTTTTAACCCATGCGTATTTACTCCTACATTTTCTCCTAGGACTTTTATGTTTTAGCACTTATGTTTAGACCTTCGAACCATTGGGAGTTAATTTTTGTATATGCTATGAGGATAAGATTCAACTTTATTCTTTTACATGTGGCTATCTAGTTGTCCCAGCACCATTTGCTGAAAAGACTACTCCTTACCCATTGAATTTGTTTGGTGCCTGTGTTGAAAATCAATTGACTATACACGTGAAGATTTATTTTTAGACTTTAAATCCTATCCCATTGATTTATATGTCTAATCTTATTGCAGTACCACACTGTTTTAATTGCTGTAGCTTTATAATAAGTTTTTAAATTGGGAAATGTGAATCTTCCAACTTTGTTCTTTTTTTCCAAAAAATTGGAATCTTTTCCAAGGTTGTTTTGTCTATTCTGGGCTCCTTGAATTTTCATATGAATTTTAGAATAAGCTTGTGTAAAGATATCAGATGGAATTTTGATAGGGTTGCACCAAATCTGTAGATCAACTTGGAGACTACTGCCATCTTTACAAAGTCTTCTGACCCATGAACATGAGATACTGTTCCATTTATTTAGGTCTTCCTTAATTTCTTTCAACAATGTTATTTAGAGTTTAGAATAAAAGTTTTGCATTTCTCTTGGTAAGTTTATTCTTAAGTATTCTTTCTGGTGCTATTCTAGTAAATCACATTATTTTTTAAGGCTATTTTTAAAGTCTCTAAAATCAAGACATATATTACAATCAAGGATATCAGCATTTTGTCATAATTCAGTTTGCAGTATTTTTAAATCTTAGTGGACCTACATGTGACTTACAATTAATGGCTCCTTAGACTCAATACAATATAGTATTAAATATGAATGTCTACAAGACATCAGAGGAGATGAGTTGTGGGCATTTGGATATGTCAATTTGGAAACAGAAATGTGGGGGTCATCTGAAGCTTGCTATTTAAGCCACAACAGTGAATGAGATTCCTCTGGGGAAAGAATATAAAGAAGACAAGAAGATCCAGGTTGCATGTGTGAGAAATCTCAACAAGCAGAAGCAAGTGGAGGACAAAGAGGTGATTAAAAATAAAAATCCATTTCTGTTGCAAGTTTATTGTTGTCATTATTGCTGTTGCTATTATTTGCCACTACACATTTGTCAGAATAATCTATTTATTAGGGAAATAATATGTTGATTAATCACAAATTCTTTTATTCCCCCAAATCCTACATGAATACAAGTAAATAAATAAACCTTTCAGGTCTTTAGAGAAGCATTTTAATCTGATTGTGATTTTGGATAGAAAATAGGCACATATTTATTGCATCTTAACCTTGACTGATTGTCTAAAGGCAGCAGAAGAAAAACAGGAGAGTTACTGTAGCATTCACAATTAAAGCCAGAAATGTGTATAAAAATGCTTCTACGAAATTCATATCGCATTTGCCTGTCACATTTCTATAACGTAAGTAGGACACCAGCTGGTAGTAATGCTAATTCATCCGCCTTTCATTTACTGTGTGTCACTTCACAGATGTTGAATCTTATCCATTCCTTGATTTTTTCTTTTTTTTTTTTTTTTTTCAAATTCCCTAACCATCACACAAAGTTATCATTATGCCATATCCTTTAGGCAGTGGTTCTCAATCAGAGGAGATTTTGACCCCCTGAGAACATTTGACAATGTCTGGAGACATTTTTAGTTGTCACAACTGGAGATGAGGTGCTACTGGCATAAGCAGGTAGAAGACAGGGATGTTGCTAAACATCCTACAATCCCCAGGACAGATCCCCATAATAAAGAATCACCCAGCCCAAATTTCAATGGTGCTGAGATTAAGAAACAGTACCTATGAGGATAAGTTTATATGTACATGAACTTTCTGCAGGCAAAGTCAATAGCTTTCACTAAATTCTCAAGTGACTCAAACAATTAAGAAGCAACGGCTTGAATACATGTTTCATCTAGGCCATGGTAAAGCGTGACATATTAATCTACCTCACAATAGGAGTCACCTCTCTAGTTAAGAAGACTTATCTCTGCCAGACAGATTTCACTGTCCCTTTCCACTGTTTACTGTCATTCATGGCTAGACAAACACAGATCTTTGAAGTTCCCATTTCTAGGGTCTCCAAGTACCTCATCCCTCTATCAGCCAGATTAATATAACCACTATGGTTATAGTGACTATTGGTGACTAAGCTAGAGCTCCATGATGTGTCTATTTAAAAGCTGCTCTCTTCAGACACACTTGGTTCAATTGGTCAATATCCATTTATTGTCTACTACGTTTAACACACTGCATATACGGTAATGAAAATAATCTAACAATCTAGTATTAGAGAGTAATTTTTAAAACTGTAAGAAGGAAAGAAGAGCATGAAAAGTGAAGGTAAGAGGAGCTCAAATGAGGATGAAGAGGGAGAACAGAACACCCGGATCATTGCACGCCATGTTTATTTTTCTTTTTTCTTATTATATTTATTGATTTTTAGATGGAGTTTTGCTCTTGTTGCCCAGGCTAGAGTGCAATGGCGCTATCTCAGCTCACCACAACCTCTGCCTTCCGGGTTCAAGGGATTCTCCTTCCTCAGCCTCCTGCGTAGCTGGGATTACAGGCATGTACCACCATGCTCGGTTAATTTCGTATTTTTAGCAGTGACAGGTCTCTAACTCCTGACTTTAGGTAATCCACCGGCCTCTGCCTCCCAAAGTGCTGGGATTACAGACCTGAGCCACCACACCTGGCTGCACGCCATGTTTCATTTCGTATTTTTCTCCACTCAAATGCAATAAGCAACTAACTCGTTCTGTCTAGTTTAAACAATTCTGTGAAATATTCAACTAACATTTCCTGGGCACTGACAGGCAAACGGGATACGACACTACAGGCAAGTTAAGAATAGCCAATGCAAACGCTTTTTTTTCTTTTTTGTCACTAACAGTTCTAATTAGACACTAATGTGCGAGGGAGGGGGTTAAGTAAGCAGAATAAAGCTGATGTCCTCCGGGCACGGTGTAATCCCAGCACTTTGAGAGGCCGAGGCAGGCGGATCACGAGATCAAGGGATCGAGACGACCCTGGCCAACATAGTGAAACCCCGTCTCTACTAAAAATACAAAAATTAGCTGGGCGTGGTGGTGCACGCCTGTAATCCCAGCTACTCGGGAGGCTGACGCAGGAGATTGATTGAACCAGGGAGAGTTGCTTTGAGCCGAGATGGCGCCACTGCACTCCAGCCTGGCGACAGAGCTAGATTCCGTCTCAAAAAAAAAAAAAAAAAGCTGTCTAAAGTACTGCTTCCAGATAATCAGCAAATGTAATCATGGTTAGAATCATCATAGCTCTTGATCAGCTATTGAAAGTTTGCTGCCATTGCCTGTAAATCGAGAGAGCGAGCGAGAGCTAGAGAGGGAGAGACAGCAAAGAACTGTAACCGTTCACCAAAGTATTAGCAACTCCATACTATATATTGTTAGCAGTAAGACTAAACCCCTCAGGGAGGCCTGGCCAGCAGTTATTATTATTATCATTATTTAGGCTGTGTCACTCTGTCGCCAGGCCCGAGTGCAGTGGCGCGATCTTGGCTCACTGCAACATCTACCTCCTGGGCTCTAACGATTCTCCCACCTCCCGAGTAGCTGAGACTACAGGCGCGGGCCACCATGCTCCGCTAATTTTTTATTTTATTTGTAGAGACTGGGGTCTCGCTATGTTACTCAGGCTGGTCTGGAAATCCTGGGCTCCAGTGATCCTCGGGCCTTGGGCTCCCAAAGTGCTGAGATTACAGGCGTGAGCCACTGCGCCAGGCCGAGCCAGCAATTCTTTTTTTTTTAAGACTTTGTCTCGCTCTGTTGCCAGGCTGCAGTGCAGTGGCACAATCCCAGCTCACTGCAACCTCCGCCTCCTGGGTTCAAGCGATTCTCCTGCCTCAGCTTCCCGAGTAGCTGGGATTACAGGCGCGCGCCACCCCGCCCAGCTAATTTTTGTATTTTTTAGTAGAGACGGGGTTTCACCGCGTTGGCCAGGATGGTCTTGATCGCTTAACCTTGTGATCCGCCCGCCTCAGCCTCCCAAAGTGCTGGTATTACATGCGTGAGCCACCGCGCCCGGCCCTAGCCAGCAATTTTTAATGGGGCTCAGGCTTGAATCTTGAGTTCACTAAAACTTCCCAGCTTGGGAAAACACCCGGGGTTCCCATGAGTGAGGTAAAGGGCCGCTGGTGAGGAACAAAGGCTGCGCGTCCGCGTTCGGAGCCGCTGGGCAGCCGGCCTCGCTGGGGACCAGGGCTGCGGTGTCCCGGGTGGCGGGGCTCCTGGACTGTGACCCGGCCGCCGCGGCCCCGCGCTCCTCCCCCGAGCCAGCGCCTCAGCCGGTGCCCAGGAGGGCGCCGCGGTGACTGGCGCGACAGCCAGGGAGGCGCGGGAAAAGGGGCGCGGGGCCTGAGGCCCGGCTGCCGCCCAAGTGGGTGAGCGAGCGAGCGGCTTGTGAAACACGCCGCGGCCGGGTCACCAGCCAGGACCGGGATCACGCGGCTCCCGGTGCCAGGTGAAGAAGCCGCCGACAGAGTGCGACAGAGAGGAGGGGCGCCCGGGGACAGAGGGCGACGTTCCCCGAAGTTCACGTCCACCAGGGTCAGCCCTCGCGCTTATGTAATAAGGACGCGCTGCCATTGGCTCGCGCGGCGGGCCAGAGCGCAGGCGTGCAAGCGGGGTGGGGGCGGGGAGGAGGCAGCCGCAGGAAGGCAAGTGGGCGGGGCTACGAGGAGCGGGCGGGGCGGGGGCGCCTGGGACTTCGGCGCGGCGTGCGCGGGCACGAGGCGTAGTGGCCTCCCCTAAGGCTGAGGCGGCGGCGGGCGCGCGGCGGCGGCGGGTGTGCGAGGCGCGGGCTGTTGTGCTCCCGGCTCTCCTCTTTCGCCACCTCGGCGGGTGGAGGAGGCCCAAGCGGTACTGGGCGCGCTCCCCCTTCCTCTCTCTCCGGCGTTCTCCCCCTGCCCTCTCGCGCTGCGCTGTCTCTCCGACGCAAGACTGTCCCGGCCCGGGTGAGCGGCAGCGGGGGCGGCGCTGACGCCTCGGGACGCCCGGGAAACGGGGCGGGGGCCTGCCGGCGGGGGGCAGTGGGGACCGTGGGACTCGCCGCGGGTCGCGAGGGGTCGCGGGGAGCGGCGGGGCCCGGCCCGGCGCGGGCCGCTGGAAGGAGGGTGAACTCGGGCGCCTGCCAGGCCCTGCAGGTGGCCGGGTGGCAGGCCAGCCGCGAGAGCGGAGTGGTAACCTTATCCCCGGCAACAGCCGCCGGTCGGCTGCTGGAGGCCGGCGCTCCTGGTGGCCGCAGGGTCCGGGTTTCGGGCAGTCTTAGCCTCCGGGAGGGCAGTCTTGGCCTCAGACCAGGGTCCTTGAGGACTGGCTAGGTGGGGGCTGCCTGGCCTTTGGTGGCAGGGAGGAGGAGGGGGTCTCCGAGGCGGGAGAGGTCGGTTTGGGAAGGAAGGTGCGCCAGGCTGCGGCCGGGGTCGGAGAAGTGTTGGGTGAAGGAGACCTCACTCTGGGTATGTTCCTCCTCTCCTCTCCTCTCCCAAAACGATGGAGTTGAAAGCTAGGGTCAGTCTATGGAGCGCTGCCTGGGCCTCTTCCTTTCAGATGGTTATGGAGAATGTGCCTACTTCCTGGACCCAAAATCCTTTTCTTCTCTTACTCATTTGTGTTGGTTTTAAAGGAGCTTTGGGGCAGTGCTTACTTGTTGCCTCCTACGAGAGCGCCTCGTTTTAGAACTCGTTCCTTCTACTACTTCCTTCTTTGCAGCCCCTCGGAAAACCACACGAAGAGTTGCATTAAAAACCAGCATGTAGGTGTTTGTAAATGACGTTTTCTCTCCAGTTTGTCGCATTTAATCAAGGAACGGTTGTAGCTGCTTACGATTTTGTAAAAATGCTGTTGGCTTGAGAGCAAACCCTAAGTTGAGCTGTCCAAAAGCAGGTGGTTGGTTCGTTTCAGTTTCTGCTTTCAGAAAGGAAATCGATGTGGCGTGTTGTCAGAAGTTAGGGGCCTATCTCAATCATTTAACCTATTTGATTCAATTTCCTTTCTGTGGTGTTTTCTGTCTTCAGAATAAGAACAAGCAACTACTGTCTTTATTAAGTCTCTTCGGGCTTTTTTATTGCTGTTTGGTGACAATGGAAAATGGGTTAACTCTATTGTGTAATGTTATATTTTAGTGAAAGTCCTAAGTGCAAAAGTTAAAAATAATTTTGTGTATCTAGTGACATTGCTTTGTACGAGTCACTACATGGAACTATTACAGTAGCTAGTAACTTGTAGAGAGCAAAGAAACTTCTGAAATTAGTGGCTTAATATTTGAAGATTTTTAAGCGTAAAACGAGAATTCCCACAAAATCAGTGTATCAGCATACATAAAATACATTGTGTCGAAGAGTTAAGATGAGTGACAGGACTGACTACTTTGTTACAAGGTCCTGATAGTAAGACACTGAGACAGAAAAAGTGTTATAAAACATTGGTATATGTTAAGATTGATCATGTGACTACTGTCGTCCAAATTATACAAAAGTATCCAAACCTCTTCCATGGGAATAGGTTTGTAAGCTTGCAGTAACATCGGACTTAAACATACATTTAAAAAAAAAAATGTGCCATTTGGCTTAGAATTAAAGATTTGTTTGTTTGTTTGTTTTTGAGACGGAGTTTCGCTCTTGTTGCCCAAGCTGGAGTGCAGTAGCTCGATCTCGGCTCACTGCAACCTCCGCCTCCCAGGTTCAAGTGATTCTCCTGCCTCAAGCCTCCCAAGTAGCTGGAATTACAGATGCATGCCACCACCCCTGGCTAATTTTAGTAGAAACGGGGTTTCACCATGTTAGCCAAGCTGGTCTTGAACTCCTCACCTCAGGTGATCCGCCTGCCTTAGCCTCCCATAGTGCTGGGATTATAGGCTCAAACCACCCCGCCCTTACTTTTGTTTGTTTGTTTAAGCAAAAATGGAAGCTTAGTCTTCAAGGACTGATACAGCTAGCAATATTTACCATTGTTTGGTGGGAATGGGGTTCTCATATTAGGCTAGCATGCTAACATTTTCAGTTACGAAAATGTGTTAGGCTAGTATGTAGTATGCTAGCTTAATATAAAAACTCCATGTTTTGTCAGTTGATTCAGCCAACTATCCTGAAAAGCATTGATCCTCTTTTACATTTTAGCTGACTTTCAGTTCGTTTTTTTGCTAGTGGGAATTTCTCCAATCAGTGTATTTTTTCAGTTTCCTTTTTTGAGGAATAGGAGCTCAATAATTTTTATGAAATGCTTTGACTTCATATCCATTAACTAATTACGGTTCCAATCAGAAAAAGCTTCACCCTTCCCTGGTGAAGTTAATATAAATCCATTGTACGTTCCTGTCCTGCAATAATTTACATTTAGTTACAGTGCTAGTCAAAACTATATATATATATATATATATATATATATATATATGAATTCTTCTTAGGATCCAATTTTGATATATTTAAAAAGCAATTGAGACTAATGAAAGACTCCTTATGAACAGGTTTAACTTGTGTGGTCTAATAAAAGCCTTTAAATGGAAAAATAAAAGTAACTTTTTTTCAGCGACATGATTTTTTTTTAATCCATTTGGGTTCACTTCAGATCATCAGTAATAAAAAGTGGTATCTTTCAGCTTTGTAAAAGAACCTCTTAACCACGTTCATTTCCTCAACTTGGAACTACTAGAGAGTAAAGAAACTTCTGGAATTAGTAGCTTGGTAATAATCTTATTTTATAATTTGTGCAGCAATCCAGCAAGACCAATGTTTTAAAAAAAATAACAGTAATTTTATGAAAACTAAGTATTTAAGAGAACAGTGTCCACCTGTTTCAGTGGTCTCCTTTAGAAGGATTAGCTGTCAGCTCTTCCTTAAAGTTATAAGAACCACAATTGCAAGTCACCGTAAATACTGGGAAGGGAAATTGCCTTTGTTGAGTGATCAAATAAATGATGGGGGGTGGCTAATCTTTTTAAGTAAATTTTTGAAGATTGCATACAGTAAAGTGCATAAATCTTAAGTGTACAGTTCAATGAATTTTTGCAAGTAAACACACTTGATTCAAGATAGAGAACATTTTCAGAAGCCCGTAAGTCCTCGTCTTGCACTGCCTTCCCAGTCATTAACTGTAACCCCCAAGGTGACTCCTTTCACTATAGATTAGCTTTGCCTGTTTTGAACTTTAAATAATGTATATTCTCCACAACTGGCTTCTTTCCTTTAACATTGAGATACAACCAAGTTGTTACTTGTAACAATTTTTTAAATGCTGCGTAGTTTTCCCGTTGTATAAATACTATAAACATACGTATACAAGCTGTGCATCCATTTTACTGTTGATAGGCATTCAGATTGTTTCCAGTTTTGGAATAGGCACTCTGAACATTTTGTACATGTCTTGGGTACATAACATTTGCATTTCTATTGGATATATACCAAGAGTGGAATTGCTGGCTCATAGAATAAACAACTACCAACTAGCTTTCCACAGAGTTGTGCCAGTAGATACATTTGTAGTATTTGTATGTAGGAATTTTAATACCTACACATTTTTATTTGCCAGATATTTCTATAAAACTTAAGGCTTCAATTCTAAGAATGTTCTTATGCTTAGATTACTCTGTATTAGAGTAAATAAGCCACTCTAATGCTTTACCTTCTGTTTTTAGATATGGCTCGTGGACAGCAGAAGATTCAGTCTCAGCAGAAAAATGCCAAAAAGCAAGCTGGACAAAAGAAGAAACAAGGACATGACCAAAAGGCTGCTGCCAAAGCTGCCTTAATATATACCTGCACTGTCTGTAGGGTAAGGGGAATTGAAAGATACAGCTCTCCCATGGGCAGTTCTTTCATTATAAATTGGTTTGTGTAGATTAAAATTTTGAAACCATGGCAAAATAGATGCTTTACTTGAAATAGTAGGTTCAAAAGCTGATTGTTTTAGGTATCTATCTCATTCATCCTTTCAACAAATATGTTTTGAATGGCTCCTGTGGCCAGATAAAATTAGGTGCTGGGGAAAAGGAGTGAACCAAACAAAATCGCTTTACTCATATAGAATAAAGATGTCTTTATAAGGGCATATGATACACTTCACTAGCATATCATATAGCTCTAAACTACATTCTTAGAGCTATATGATATGCTGGTAAATATACCACTGGTAATATCATTGGCTTTTTTTTTCCTTCTTCACTAAATCCATAATTAGGAGGTCTATAAAACCATATAGAGTATATTCATGTTGAGAGCTTTTCCTAGAATTCATGTGTTTTATTAGATTTGAAAAACAATAATTACAACAACTACTTTTGAGTGTTTACCATATGCCAGACATAGATCCAGGTTTTTACGTTGTATTCACCCATTTAATCTACGTAACAGCCCTATGAAGTAAAGTACTTTTATTATTCTCATTTTACAGAAGAGTAAACTGAGTCATGGAAATTAAACAATTTGTGTGGGGTCACCCCACTGGTTAGTAGAAGAGCTGGAATCTAAAGTTAGGCAGTTCAGCTCCGGAGTCCACCCTCTGGACCACTACTGTACTGCCCCTCAAAGAAATACTTCTGAAATTCCAAATCAGAGCCTCTTTCCTGTTTGTTTAAGCTCATTACCCTTGAAGTTAGTGAATGGCAGTGCCAAAGGAAACCATAGTGAGGTTAGTTACCTACATATACACTCAAAATAATGAAATTGAACAGCTTCTGATTGTTTGGAAAGAGGCAGGGTGCACAGTTTAATCAATTAGTAATGAAATACCTTAACCTAAAAGTGCTAGAGTAATTTGCATATTTAAAAACTCAAACCCACAGACTTTTATTTCATATTTTGTTAATTGAATGGGTTAAAAATAAATAATTGAAGGTTCTTGTCAAGAAAAGTCAGTATAGTATAGTATTTGAGAGGTCACATACCTAGTACTAAGTTAAAATAAGGTCTTGGGCAAATTAAACTGGGTTTTAGTTTTCTTATCACATGAAATGAAGATGCTAGAAAGAGCTACAGATTGCTTTGAAGGTTCTGTGGGAATTAAGGTAACATGCTTAACATAATAAGCATTCAGTAAATGTTACCTGTTGTTTGCTGTTAATCAGATAAGCAGAATACATTCTGTGTGACCTACCTTTCTTTATATGTGAAATGTGGGAATGTTAGGAATTTCTTTACCACAAAATCCCTCTTCATATGCCAGCCACTGAGTTGTAGGAATTTAAAGATGTTTTGTGATAATTGTGTATCATGAGAAGGTTCAGGATTCTAAAATGTAACACATTTTTGTTTCATAAATAAAGTCTAGCTCTCTTTTGCACAATTTTTTTGTTAGACGCAAATGCCAGACCCTAAGACCTTCAAGCAGCACTTTGAGAGCAAGCATCCTAAGACTCCACTTCCTCCAGAATTAGCTGATGTTCAGGCATAAGGTTGTTTACAGGTAGGTAACCTCTTTTTTATTGGTTTGTTAATATCAAGGTTGTAAAAAGACCAAAACTGTCTTCTCAGATTGTGAAATTAATTTCTGCCTTCTGAGACTTTATTGCTTTCACCTTTTAATGTGTAACTTAAAAGTCCCTTTTCCTCAGACTATTTCCTTTCAATGCCTTTGAAACATCCAAATTTTTACTACTGTAGCCAAAAATGGGGAGATGAGTACATGCTGGCCAACTCTGGTCCAAGAATGAAAGAAACTTATCAGTTTAAAGGAAATAGTGATTACAAAGATATTTGAGAGTTTTCCTCTCAGAAACAGTGTACACCAATGTTCCTGATCACCTTTTTACAGTTATTTTACTTATAATAATTAGCAGATGTTCTTCTTTTTTCCCCCCCAACGCATCCCCTTAGCAGAGTTTATGAGCATTAAAATATAGGGCAAAATGTAGATATGTGCTATGTAAATTTGTTTATAAATTTGTTGTTTGAAAGTCATCACTTTGCACATTACATTTGGTTGGAATTTTTCCCCCTAAAGAATGGAGTTAGTGGTGGGTGTGTTGTGTGTTTGAGAATTATTTCTGATACTATCTTCATAGTGTTTTTTCTTAGTTATTTGACATGCAGATTAAGTTGCATTTGTGTAATGGTAACATTCATTGAAAATTTTGCTTATGTTTTATAGGTGAATTCATGACACCTTTGAGTCTTCTACTGTCTCAGACCTTAGGTAACATACCTGCAGCTGCTTTTCTAACAAACTGTTGATCAGCAAAAATAAAGGGGCTACAGAAAACACTCATTTTTATGCTGTTCCCTTTTGGGCTTCATGCAAAGACAATTCTGTGTAAATGTACAGTTGACTCTGATTTGGAAATCTGAAAATCAGTCCATCCTTGTTATAAAAAATTTTTTTACAATTGTAATTATATTGATGTTCATATTGTGTAAAATAACTCATTTAATAAAGTAGTACTTTGATTTACAACATCACAGGATAAATGGTTTTAGAAATTCTGTTCTAACTTTCCACATTATTTGCCTTATAAAAATCTAATGAATTCATCAGCTAGAATTGCAAGTGCAGTTCTTATATCCCTTTCTCAGCTCCGTGACAGGTTCCTTAGTTAAATTAGAGCACTCATTCATTAAACTTATACATACGATTTTATTGGCAGCTGATGACCTAGGTAAAAAATGACTTATCTGCTGCCTTAGTATATTGCAGTTATATATCATTGTCCCCCTCTGATTATTTCCTGTGTTTGAGTTAGAATATAT